CCCCCTCCCCCCCCTTACTAGTTGGCCAATAAAAAGTGAAATTGTTGTCGATCGCATGACGCGATCTGCTTGCGGCAAATTATGAAATTCCCATTATTTGTGGTTGCTGTCTCGGCTATCGATATGAGTATATATATATATGGGTATATATGTAGCTATTATCTGCGTGTATTCTAGTTGCGTAAATGCTGAAGGCCAACTCTTGTGGTTGATTGAACACTAATCAAAACAGCTGTGCACACACACACACACACACACACACACACACACATTCGCAGGCTCAAACCACACCAACTACTGTAGCCACGCCCCCCGAGCGCCCCCTGTAATTTGTCTAGCAGCATATTGCCACAGCTTGTTGGCCCAGTTAAGTGCAATCAATTAGTCTGCGCTTTCCACAAGAATTTGCTGAACAACTTCAAATTAGTTTAAATTGATAGAAAAAAAAAGTTGTAATTTATACTTTATGTTTTAGATGCAAAGGTTTTAAACTGAGGCTAAAGTGTTTACCTAAGTTTTGTCAAATTGCAACTAAAATCTGATGGCAAAATCAAAGCTAGTGTGAAAATATAATATATCATATTAGTATGAAGCCGAAGCGTGAATGCCCTAACACTGCTTGTGCAACAGCTGTAAGCCGCATGACATTGTAATGCGATCTGCCTGGGAAATCGTTGACGAGCTCTAAAATCTGTTAAGAATTCCTTTATTTTTTGCTTACTTCGAAATAAAATAAAATAAAATTATGCAAAAATTGCGAATTTCTGAAGATCCGAAGATCGCTTAAATAAAACATAATAAATGGGAAATTGAAAAGTTCAACAAAAGTTGTTGAATTGTTAAAATAAATTGAAACATTTAATCAAATAAATATCAACAAATATACAATTGTATTTTAAATTAAAAAATAAAACGCATTTTAAAGAAAGGTTCAACAATTTGAGCTTATTAAAAATACCCAAAAATAAATAAATAATTTTTAAATAAAATTTAAGCAAAATAAAAAAATAAACAAATATTTAAAAAATTAATTTAATTTGAATTAATAAATAAAATGCCTTTTATAGAAAATTCGAACAGTTTAAGCTAAAAAAAAAAATAAAATATTGTAATAAATTAAAAAATTATTTAATAAATTTATAACAATTAAATTTATAACTGATAAATAAATATTGTACTTAAATTGTAAAATAATAAATAAAATTCATTTGAATGTATTTCAAAGAAAAGTTCAACAATTTATTTATTATAAAAATGAAAAAAACAAAAATGTATTAAGTTAAATTTTAGTTAAATTTTTAAAAAATAATTCTGCATTCATTAACAATTATTTCCCAAGCTGTTCTACACTAGCTACAAGAACTGATAGACTACACAGAAGAGTTGGGAGATATAAGAAAATGGAAAACATAAATGCTGCAAAATTAACTTTATCAACTTTTACAGATATATTAACGTTGATAAAGAATGGCTAGTTCTTAAAGAATTTAAGCAGATAAAATGACTTGGTAGATTGGCAACATGATTCGCTTATCTCGAGCCGAGAAATGCGAGACCAGGTAGAAAAGAAAATGATGATAAGGCACTTAACAAATTGAAAAGAACACATGTTCCAAGGCTTTTCACTCGAAAAGTCATTTAAATGAAAAGAAAAAAGCGCTTTTACTCAAATTAAAGCAAATTAGTTACATTTAACTCTGCATTAAGTGGGCTCTACGATGGGCCCTATTATCGTCTGCTCCAGTTTGGCAACATTTCTCCAGCGTATTTCCGCTTATATCTTTTGGACTGACAACAACAACAACAACAACAAAACTAAGTTGCATTTGTTTTGGGCCATAAAAGGTCAATTTCACAGCTGAACAAACGTGTTTTTCTCTTTTTTTTGTTAAGTTTTTAACGTTAACGTTTGCCACATTTTTTAACCAGATTTAATGACAACAGCTCGAATGCCTACAAAACGCATTGCTTTCAACTCGACGACAAGGTCGTTGATGGCCAGATAGTCCAGTTATCGAGTGCAATTTGCTGCTCAAAGATATTTTTTAAGATAGCGAATAGTTTTCGTATTTCAACTGTCAGCTTTAATTAGAGTCTCACACGCCCCTCAATACACAATACCGCCCACCAAAAGCAATAAGAGTATCCCGCAGGTCGAAGACTTGATACCCTTGCACATGATAGGGAAGAATTTAAAAGTCGCCTTTCGACCAATTCTTCCAATAGTTATATTCAGTATAGTTTGAAAAGTAGTCGGATATTGGAGATAGGAGTTAAGTGAAATATAATATCTTTAAAATTTAAAAAAATGTTTTTCAAATAAATATCCAAGTTTCGACCCATTCCTGCTATGCCAGCTATATGATATAGGGGTCCAATGCGGCTAGTTCCCGCACGTGGAAAACTGAGAGACTATTTTACATAGAAAGAGACAAACAGACAAGGCTTATATACTGTTATTCTGCCTTCTCTCTCTTTCTCACACAGAAACAGACAAGGCTTATATACTGTTATTCTCCCTTCTCTGTCTCTCTCTCTCTCACACAGAAACAGACAAGACTTATATACTGTTATTCTCCCCTCTCTCTCTCTCTCTCACAGAAACAGACAAGGCTTATATACTGTTATTCTCCCCTTTCTCTCTCTTTCTATATATAAACAAATTTCTCCCTTTATGGGTTACACACTGCATGATATAATTACACTACCCTCTTTAGTATAGGGTATAGCAAGCCGCTCAGAGCGCTGTGCTCGTCTAGCTTTATCAACAATAACAAATTTGGTTGTTTCTGATAAGAGCCGCAAAATCGAAAGCAATTGCCACAGCGAAAAAATATTGTTAACTTTTCACAATGTGTAAAATTAATAACAATTTACCTCTTTTCACGTTGATTTCGCAAAAACACAATTCTCTATGCCATATTACAAAAGCATGTTTAAACAACAACAAGCGTGCTTAATAAAACTAACACTAATAGTAGAAGAAGAGAAAGAAAAAAAAACTCTGCTAACTGTAAAATAGAGCGCGTGTCGTGAACGACAAACTGCAACTGAAAAGTGCGACGTTGCGCTGCGGCGTTGTTGACGGCAAATGGAAAATGTTTGTTGAAAATGGAAAAACTTTTGTTTGTAAGCTGTTGCCACCGCCGCCTCCGCCGTCGCTGCTGCGCAAGCGAGACGGAAAATGGAGTAGCAGACGCAAAATGTTGCAATCATGCCCAACGGACCCACCTTTGACTTGGCGACGACCCCAGCGATGGCATTTTAAATGATTTTTCGGTGCTGGGAATCTGTTTGGCATTTGTTTGGGGCGCCAGGTGAAAGGCAATGCAATTAATTGCCGCTGCAAACCTAAAGTACAATTGTGTTTTTCTGCTTCTGCTTCTTCTTTACTTAACGCTCGGCCTCATTACGTACTGGCGTTTCACATGGCATTTACATTTTATAGGCAGGCCAAGAAGTTGGCGCCATAACTGATGCTCGGTCTAGCGGAACGCATTGCCAATGGCCCGAGCCGCACTTTTTGAAAACTATTTAAAACATTTATTCAAGAGTAGAAATGATACTAATTACAACTATCACTTTCGTTTTTAATTTGAGTTTCACCAATTAAATTCAAGTCTAATTATTTGTTTTAAATAGCTTAAAGTATTTATCTGATTTACAGTTATTCAAAATATCTTGTTCTCGCTATCGATAGTTTTATGTCTTCTCTAGCGTTGGCTGGTCACACTTACTCTTATTTGCCAATATCGAAACGATGCAGAATTATCGATAAGTAACTCGGCTGCCATCGAAACTAAATCGCCCGACCGCCACTTTGTCGTGAAACAGCTACAGGAGAAAATTTACTCAAGTCATCCTAACAACGAGCCAGAGTAAAATTAATATCACAATTCTAAAATGGAAACACTTCTGGGCATCAAAGGACCTGATTTTGTTATGCTAGCAGCAGACACAACTCACGCCCATTCTGTAGTCGTTATGAAAGAAGGTAAATGATTTAGCGGCGTGCATCAACGGGTTCGACTTTAACTAACATTCTCGCATCATTTTCTAGATGAGAACAAAATCCATAAGGTGGCGGATAATTTGTTAATTTCAACGGTTGGCGAGTCTGGCGACACCGAGCAGTTCACCGAGTTTATCGCGAAGAACATTGCATTGTACAAAATGCGCAACGGCTACGATTTAAGCCCCCATTCGGCTGCACATTTCACTCGCAAAAACCTGGCCGAAAGTCTGCGTAGTCGCACACGCTACCAGGTGTTCATGTTTATTGCCGGGTGAGTTCCATTGAACTTAATTTAAATAACGCTTGATTAATAACAGTTTCTTCTATCAGCTACGATCCCGCTGAGGGCCCCGAACTGACATTCATTGATTATCTGGCGTCGGCACAGTCTGTGAATTATGCCGGTCATGGCTACGGTAGCATGTTCTGCTCCAGCATATTCGATCGCTACTGGCATCCAAATATCAGCCAGGAGGAGGCCTACGATGTGCTAAAGAAGTGTGTGATGGAAATTCAGAAACGTCTTATTGTTAACTTGAAAAACTTTAATGTGGCGGTTGTGGATAAGAACGGGGTTCGCCATTTGGATCAAATCAGTTCCAAGAGCTTAATCGATTACAATGCTGCCGCTTAATCAATTTGCCGATAATCTTATTTTAAGCATTTTAAATGCATATTAAAGCAAAATAAAAGATTTGGATTTTGGTATGACAACAGCTGGACTATTGAATTCCAGTTATTTAATGATACATTCAAGTAAATAAGTGTTTATCTTGCTCCATTGGCCAGGTGCTTGCTTAAAGCTAAAGTTCATAATTTGAAGTTAAATTAAATAATTTGTTGTATTTAGCCTACATATATTGAATACTGCCATTTTCACAGTTTGCTGTTCAATTAATCGTCCGGTGTTTTTTTATCGACTATCGATATCGAATCGTGATCGAATTGCTTGAAAGCGCCAGTCATTTGGCATTCACCCGGAACGTCGACGGTCGTGTTATCAACTGCACTTGGTTTACGTTTCATTGCCATTTCACAACGCATAAATAGATATTGAAAAATATAAAATGCAAGCACCGCCGCCCGAGCACTGCCCTGGCGTGGAGAGCGAACAGGCCGGCCTGGTCAGCGCCTGTGCCGGCTGCCCCAATCAAAGCATTTGCAGTGATCCCAGCAAGAAGCTTGAGGATCCCGGCAAGGCGCTGGTTGCCGCCGCCATGAAAGATGTCAAGCATAAGCTGCTGATTCTCTCGGGCAAGGGAGGTGTGGGCAAGAGCACGGTTACCACGCTGCTGACACGCTACTTGGCACGCAGTTACCCCGATAACAATTTTGGCGTCTTGGACATTGATATTTGTGGGCCATCGCAGCCTCGTCTGTTGGGCGCCCTGGGCGAGAATGTGCATCAATCCGGCTCAGGCTGGTCGCCGGTAGGCATTGACGACAATGTGTGCCTAATGTCCATCGGCTTCCTGCTGGGCTCTGTGGATGATGCCGTCATTTGGCGCGGGCCCAAAAAGAACGGCATGATACGACAGTTTCTCAGCGAGGTGGACTGGGGAAATCTGGATTTGCTCTTGCTGGACACGCCGCCGGGTACATCGGATGAGCATTTGTCCGTGGTCACGTATTTGCGCGACGACAACGCGCCCGAATCCTTGCATGCCATTATTGTGACCACGCCGCAGGAGGTGGCGCTGCTGGACGTGCGCAAGGAGATTAATTTCTGTAAAAAGCAACGCATACCCATCCTGGGCGTCATTGAGAACATGAGCAGCTTCCGCTGTGGACACTGCGGCAACAGCTCAGAGATCTTTCCCGCCAAAACGGGCGGCGCGGCGGCCATGTGCACCGAAATGGATGTGCCGCTGCTCGGCTCATTGCCGCTCGATCCGCTCGTGACACGCTCCTGCGATGCCGGCGAGGATATAACAGCCATGCGCAACGAGACCACCGAAGCGCTGGCCACCATCTGCAGCAAGATCATGAGCAGCCTTTAGTCTAGTTTATTGTTAATTATGATTTGTACTGTTTATTAAAGTTATGCGTATAGATATTATTAACATTAATTTTGTTATATTTAGATGGCTCCTAGGCATTTATGGGCGCTGCGGCGGCTAGCGGACTTTGAATGGACAGCTCACTGGCGCCAGCGGCAACTTCATTGACACTAATCTCCTCCTGCACCACATGCGCAATCGCTGTGCTCTCGAGCCGCGGCGCAAAAGTTGTATCCCGGCCGCACATTCTAGATTCTATTTCCGCCTGTAGCTGTTGCTGCGTTGCCTCCAGCTGTTGCTGCGTTGCCTCCAGCTCGCCGTTTGGTGCGGCGGGACGCAGCGTTACATCCTCCATCTGCGTGACAGGTATACGTGGCTGGGTTGGCGGCGGCAAAGGATCGGGCGGATGATTCACCAGGGTAACCGAATCTGTGCAGTCATCCACCTTGTAAATGCCCACCAGATAGTTGGACAGCTCGAACATATTCACGCGCAGCGAGACAATTATAAACTGGGCATTCTTGGTGCGCTCCTAAAAGAGAAGGCAAGTTGAAGACTGGAGCAATTTGTGCCAGGAGCAGCAGTTCTTACCTTGATATAATGGCCTACAATGGAGACGTTTTTGAAGTCCAAGGCGGCATCGATCTCGTCCATAAAATACAAAGGCGATGGCTTATAATAATGCAAGGCAAAGACCAAGGCGAGCGAGGAGAGCGTCTTCTCCCCGCCAGACAAATTCGAGATGTATTTCCAGCTTTTCTTGGGCGGACGCACAGTGAACTGTACGCCCTCGGTGAATGGATCCATGGAGTCAACCAGCTCCAGATCGGCATCGCCACCCAGCGTAATCATGCGATACATTTCCTTAAGCTTGCGCGTGATTATGTTGAAGCCCTCCATGAATTCCGTATAGCGACGCTTGCGCACCTCCTCATACTTGTCGCGCATCTCGTTACGTTTTGAGGTGATGTCCTCGAGGACGCGCACGCGATCCAAATAAACCAGACGCTTGTCCGTAAATTCCTTGATGAAACCCAAATTAGGCTTTGTTTTCAGCTGTTCCTCAAGCAGCGTCTGCTTGTACTGCATGTCCTCCAGATTATTCGCCTGCAGCTCCTCCTCGTTGAGCGTCTTGAGCGGTGCCGGCGGCTCTGTTTCGCCGGGTATTTCATTCAGCTTGAGCGGCTTCAGCTGCGCCTGCCAGCGTGGTATATCCGATTTCACCTCGTTCATCTTGGCTGCAGCCGCCTGCAGCTTGGTCTCAATCTCAATGCGTGCCAGATTACGTTGATTCTCCTGCTTGTTCAGCTCATCGATTGCCTTCTTAATGTCCGACGATTGCGACTTGGCGCTACCGATGGCCTCCTCGGCCTTAGACGCTTCCTCCTCCAGCTCATTCTTGCGCTCCTGACACTGCTGACGCTCCTCGTTGAGGGTGCGCAGCTTGTCTTCCGCCGTTTTTATATTCTCCCGCAGATTATTGTTGTTATTCTTGAGACGCTCAATGCTGCGTTCTGCGGTGGTCAGCGCCACATTCAGGCTGCGTACATTGCTGGCCAGCTTCTCAATCTGGCTGGTTGTCTTCTTCAGCTTGGCCTCCACGGGCTTCACTGTATCCGAGCGCAGCGTATCGTATTCGGCCTGCACTTCGCTGATTTGACTGGACATGGCCTGCTCCTTTTCCACTCGCTGCTGCAGCTGCTCTGCGGCACGCTTTATGTGCACCTCGAGCTCCTTGACGGCACCCTCGTCTGTGGTATGGGCCTGCATGCGTTTGCGCTGCGCCTCACACTGTTTCAGGCTGCTGGCCATTTGCTGCTCCTGCGATTTAATGCTCACCGTGAGACGCTTCTGTTCCGTTTCACTGCGCTGGAGATTCGTTTGCAACGTTTGTATCTCATACTCCAGGCGCCCCTGCTGCTCCTGGCAGTAGTTGATGCGTGTCTGCAGCTCCTCGGCCCGCACCTGCATATCCTCCAGTGCCTGTTGCGATATCAGCGAGCTGTCTGCCGATTCGGCGGTCTTGGTGCGCACCTGGGTGCCCATTTTGCCGCGCACAGGTCTATTGCCGCCGCCGGACATGGTGCCCGCCTGCTCGATAATCTCGCCACGCAGCGTGACCACACGAAATCGTTCCCGGCCATAGGCAATGCGTGAACCCTGCTCCAGATCCGTGGCCACCAAAGTATTGTGCAGTGCCATATAGAAAGCGGTCTTGACGCGCTCATCCTCCACCTGCACCAGATCGTAAAGACGCGGCACGTTCTCGGGACTGTGTAAAATTAAATTATTATATTTAATAATGTGACAATTCTAGTAAACTTTTGGAACTCACGTGTTGATGCGATGTGACTTGCTGCGCCAATGCTCCATGCGATTGAGGGGGATAAAATTGGCGCGACCCACATTATGCTGCTTGAGAGCCTTGATGGCAGCCGTGGCGGTGTCGTAGGTATCTGTCACAATATTATCGAGGCGTCCGCAGGCCGTCGATATGGCTATGTCATACTTGGCATCAATGCCGCCCAAATCCCCCAAGCGTCCAAGTATGCCCGGTATTTTGCCTTCAGCCTTCATGCGCATCAGAAAGTCCAGGACTTTGTCGTTGGAGCGTTGCGCTTGCATATTGGAGGAGCGTTCATTGATCTGACAAGGAAAAGGAGCAATTGTAAGACAAATAATTAGAGCTGTTATCAGATAGCAATACCTCCTCGCGCAGCTTGCCGCACTGCATGGCCAGGTTGCGCTCCTCCTTGGCCAGCTTTTCCACCTCGGCAGACTTGGTGCGTATCTCCTCCTGCAGCTGCGGCATATTTGTGCTAAGCTCCTCCAATTTGGTGGTCATGTTTTGCAGGCTCTGCTGTGCCGATTCGTAGGAGCTTTTGAGTGATTCATATTTGCGCGCTTCGGTGGTCTCCACTTGCTTTAGTATCTTCAGCTTGGACTCGTGCACCTGCAGCTCCTCGCGTGCCGTGTTGACGGCCTCCTTGAGTCCAATTAGCTCATCGCTGCACTTGAGACGCTTTTCGGTCAGCGGCTCGGATTGCTCCTTGAGCAGTTTCAGCTGCTTCTCCAGCTCCTCGTTCAGTGTGAGCTTCTCCTTTTCCAGGCGCTCCAATTTATGCTGGCATTCTTCGATTTCCTTGGCATTTTTCTCCGGCAACTTATGCAGTTCTTCGAGCTCCTTATCATTTTTATCTATTTGCGCCTTGTCCTTTTTGCGCTGTTTGTTTGTATTCTCCATGGCGCTCTGGACCTCTGTGTAGCTGCGCTCCGCGCCCACCAGCTTCTTCTTGATGTCCTCGCGCTGCTTGACCAGCGCCTCGTAGGCTCTGCAAATAGAAATGGCAAATATGAGTCAAAGAATTTGGTTTGTGCCGCGCTAGAAACCCACTCAATTTCCTTGCGCACAATTAGCTCCTTTTCGGCACGCTCCTTTTTCAGGGCATCGGTGCCCTCGTCATGGGTTTTCAGCTCCACGCTGCACTGCTCATGCTCCTGGGTATACTCCTCCAGCTTCTGTTTCTTAATGCTTATGTACTTCTGTGTCACCCAGTTCTTGGTGCGCATGAATTCATTCTCCTTGCGCAAATACTCAACGGCCTCATTGAATGGCTGCTCCAGATCCTTCATTTCACGCTCAGCCAGCTTGCAGCGATTATGCTTCTCCGTGCGGTCATCTGTCAACTGATCCACACGCTGATTGATCTGCTGCAGCGGCCGTATATAGCGCTGTGTCCCAATTATGTCCTCCAGGTACTCCAGCATGCCCGTTTCGTTCTCATTCTGGCCCTTGGTCTTCATCATGGCTATGGACTCCACCTCGCCCTGCAGTATAAGGAAACGATTGTGCTCCAGGTCCACATGATGCTTCTTCAGCAGCTTGGCCACATCCTTGAGCTGGGCACGTTGATTGTCTATCTGATAATAGGACGAGTTATCCGACATGGCTGTGCGGCGCACATAGAACTGTGAGCCCGCCACCGGCTCACTCTGGCCATCGCCCTTGTCCACCACCTGCTCAAAGTGTACGGCCACCGAGCAGCTGTTCAGATTGGGATGGGCCTTGGAATTGTGTATCAGTGTTGAGAGTTTCTTGCAACGGATGCGATTGGCGCGACAGCCAAAGACAAACATCATGGAGTCAATGACATTGCTTTTGCCGCTGCCGTTGGGGCCAATAATCGCAGTAAAGGAATGATGAAACGGACCCAGCTCCACCTCGCCGGCATAGCTCTTGAAATTGTAATTGACAATGCGCTTTATGATCAGACGCGGCCCGACGCTCTCCATGGAGCAATGCGGCGGCACCGGCGGCGGTATATATATATCACCGATGCGAGTGCCGCCCTCCTCATCGTCAAAGATTAGCGCCTCGTCGAGAGCGTCCAGTGCGGCGGCATCGGCGGCCTCCTGCTGGGCCTTCATCTGCTGCTGTTGTGTTAGGCGTGCGGCGCCGCTGGTGCGACAGCCGCCGCGAGCCTGTGGCGTACCCAGGCTGGGTCGCATTTCGCTAACAAAATTCTGTCACAATAACGAGAGAAACTATTTAAAATCCTTAAAACAGTTCGCGTCTCCTGGCGCTAAAATAAAATATGACGCTACGGCACGGTTGCATGCGCTGAGTTATGCCTCTAGCGGCATTTACGCTAACTAAAACTCACCGAGTTTAAAGCGAGTTGGCAGCGCTGCGTGCAAATAAACGTTTTTATTCGTTGCAATTCAAATGCAGAATTCAAATTGAATTACAAATTCGCTAATTGATGTAGAAATATTTTTGCTTGTTACTCTAGACAAAACAGATTGCAACTAAGCAATTACTATTAAATGTAATCTCGTAATTAGAGTATTGACGCAAGGCTACTATTATTTGAGTATTTAACTAAAAATTCAGAAAGTCATGCATTGACGATAAGCGATAAGAAATTATGCTATTTAGAATGTAAACAACATCGTGGAGTAGCGTCGGTCGATAATTATGTTTACATTGATTTTTAAAACAAACATGCAAATCTGGTATATTATTTATTTATTTATTTAAAGCACCATAAATCATTGCATGTACAATTAGAAGGAAAAGTATTCATACAAAAAACTAACTCAATGCCCGCCACTCAACGAAAGAGAGCTTTCTCCCGCGCCGGGCATTACAACTGTGATACATATAAGCTCTGATATATATGGCCTGGTCTGCAGCGCCCATGGCTTCAGTTTGTTTCGGTCTTCAGCTGCTGCGGTCGCTGCGCACGCGCAACTCGAATTAGTGTATACGCCGGTCGCAATTTCGTATTTGAAAATAAAAAATAAAAAAACGAAAAAGAACTGGAAATCAGCATAAAATGCTGCGCCCGCAGGGAAATTCAAATAACCGAACGGGTTTCACAGTCAAGGTCGACGCTCACAAACGAAACCGTTATGGGCGCTGCACATTAACAGATATGCAAAAATCGATGGCACTTATTGTTGTTGCTTTTGTGGTCATCTTCGTGATTATGTCGTCGCATGCTACAAGCATTGGTAAATTTACCGCTCTCGCTCTCTCTGCCTCTCTCGCTCTTTTGTTTGACACCAAATTTACTACCTGACTTTGATTGGGTGCGTCTTGTTGTTGTAGCTGCTTTTTTGTTGTTGTTGTTGTCTTTGGCATGCGCATGCGCAGGCGCGCGCTTTGGGTGTGAAAGTTGTTGATCTGTTTGTTACATAATCAACTGGGGGCCGCCGCCTGTGTGTGCATTGAACCCCAAATGACAGTTGCTGAAAATTTTCCTGACCTGCCGCTTAACCAAGCTTTGGCAACTAACAAAAAAATGCTTTAACTGTTACTTTCTAAATGCTGCAGCTGCCACTTCACACAGACACACTGATTTCTATACACGCAATCCGCACACACACACAATTGTAACAAATCTTGAGATCGCATCTTGCATTTTACACACACGCGTCGCTTGCCCAATCGCTTGAGTTACGATCTGCTCCAGCTATGCCGCCAAATCAACTAACTGTGCGTGTGTATATGTATATAAATGTGTGTGTGTGTGTGTGTGTGTGTGTTGCAAACGCAATTGACTTGCTGCCACCAAAATTGGCTTGGACACAGGGGCGTAGCCAAGCCCCCCCTCCCACTTGGCACTTCGAAGGTTTGCATATGAGAAAATTCGACCCTAGCTAAAATATAAAAACAAACTATTTCCAAGGAAAATAATATTGCTGTAAGAGCTTTCGCTTATAGATTACATCGATAAGCTAGCCTGGAACTGGTTCCTGGAAATAAAGATAGCTGAATTTTTATCAAATTTATAATTTGTAAACTTAAAAAAATGCGAATTGTAATTCGACTTATTGCATTGCCTTTTAATGTAGTGTTTGTTTTTACAGTGAAAACTCTCTTGAGTGGACATTCACATTTCCAGTCATTCCAGTCTTTCTACTAAAGTGATTTCTTCCAGAAAAATCTGAATTTATTCAGTCGAATGTCTTGAAGCTTTTAGAACAATTTCAAAATTGTCGTTTAATTGAGGATATAGAAATAGTTTCAAAGAAAAACCTAACCTAAAAACCGAACCCTTGAACCTAACCTAACTTTACTAAATAAAGCCAAAGGTGTGCGTCTGTTTTGAGTTCTTACGTTCCTAAAGGTTTTACTGTACATAAATAAACGAAATGCATAGAGAGCATTAGATTGGTTACCTTTCGTATGGATATTTTTGTAAATCTAAAATTATACAACCAAATCGCGTGTACATTTCTGGAAGTCCAAATTTGTCACGTAACGTGTGTCACGTCACGTATGCCTTGTTTCGAAAACTAAAGAGAATATAATTACAATTTAATTATAAATTTAAGGCGGCATTATATCAGTTATTATTATTATTGCTTCTCTCTCTCAATTAATATGTGCTTAGTCCTGCCTTTACATATTACATATATCATCTATCAGTTGCTTAAAACTTAGGATCTACAGAGACCTAGCACTCCATTGTAGCCCCTGCTCGCCGGGCTGATATGGCTGCGTGATCTAGGCGCTAGCCAAGATTATTGCGGCAATGGCCAAACCCCCTGCCAAATGTGGACGTGAGCAGCTCGTTTTTTCTTTGCTTTTTTTTGGGTCAACGTATTAATTAGTTTTGGCGGTAATTAGATATGAAGCTATCTCACACACGACCTGCTTTGCAGACAATGCCAACGAACCGGAGCGGGCAACAGGTGCTGGTGGCAATCACAGTCGACATAGACGCTCCAGCTCAAGCGCTGTCTGCATGCACGATGCACGCTTCTATCGCAATCCCAATCGGCCGGTGCACAAGATTTGGACGAACAGCGAGTGCGCCAAGTATTTCTTGTGCCTGGACGGCGAGGTGTTTGAGTTCAAGTGTTCCGAGGGTCTGCTGTTCGATGTGGTGCGACAGATTTGTGACTTTAAGGCGAATGTGGATAATTGTGATATTAGCGCTGAGACGCCGGCGCCCAAGCCGCTGCTCGAGATGGCCGACTGTGCGGATGAGACACAGCTGGGCTGTGCGGATGGCACCTGCCTGCCGCAGGAGTACTTTTGCGATGGCTCCGTCGACTGTCCGGATGGCTCCGATGAGGGCTGGTGCGATGTCGAGCATGATCCGAATGCGGCTGGTGCATGTGATCCGCGCAAGTGTCAGCTGCCGCATTGCTTCTGCTCCAAGGATGGCACCCAGATACCCGGTAATCTGCAGGCGCAGACTGTGCCACAAATGATATTGCTGACCTTCGATGATGCCATCAACCATGACAACTGGGAGCTGTTCTCCAAAGTTCTGTTTACGGCAAATCGACGCAATCCGAATGGTTGTCCCATCCGGAGCACTTTCTATGTCTCGCATCCGTATACGAACTACCAATATGTGCAGAAACTCTGGAACGATGGACACGAGATTGCCGTTCATTCGGTGACGTAAGTCTTGTAGTTAATTGCGAAAGCTCAACTACAATTGAATTTCTTTCTCTTTGCAGTCATCGCGGTCCAGAGCTCTGGTGGTCCAAGAATGCCACCATTGAGGATTGGTTTGATGAGATGGTCGGCCAGGCGAATATTATTAACAAGTTTGCCAGTGTGCGCATGGAGGAGTTGCGGGGCATGCGGGTACCCTTCCTGCGCGTCGGCTGGAACCGTCAGTTTCTCATGATGAAGGAATTTGGTTTTGTCTATGATGCGTCCATGGTGGCGCCGCACTCGAATCCACCACTGTGGCCGTACACGCTGGACTTTAAGATGCCGCACAGCTGCCTTGGCGCCAATCAAAATTGTCCGACGCGCAGTTATCCAGGCATTTGGGAGATCGTTATGAATCAGCTGGAGGCGGGCGCTGGCGAATACACATGCGGCATGGTCGACAGCTGTCCGCCGCATCTAACTGGCGAGGATGTGTATCGCATGCTCACGTACAATTTTAAGCGTCATTATCTTAGCAATCGTGCCCCATTTGGATTATACTTTCACTCCACGTGGTTCAAGAAGATTGACTACTTGAATGCCTGTTTGGTGAGTATCAAACTGAACTCCTGTCTTGCAAATGTGTGTGCTTAAGTCCGTCTCTTGCAGAAATTTTTGGATGACATGCAAAAGTTGCCGGATGTGTACTTTGTGACCAATCAGCAGGCCATTCAATGGATGCGCAAGCCCACGCCCAGCAATCAGCTGCATCAATTCGAGCCCTGGCACTGCCAGCCCAAGCAGCTGGAGCCGCACGAGCAGGTCTGCCAGATGCCCAACGTTTGCAAGGTGCGCAGTCGCGTGCTTCAGGAGGATCGCTATTTTTATACGTGCATGGAGTGCCCGGCACAGTATCCCTGGATACGCAACGAATTTGGTCTAGAATAGCCAATTGTTTAGTTTTAAATTGTATTTATGTTACATATTTTTCATTAATTTAAATGTTTGCAAAACGTATTTTTATAAACCTTTGTACGCGATCTTTTCCTTAGCCTAAGCCCAGGCAGCATATCCTTTTACTGCGTGATAAAGGGATTGGCTATGCTTTCGACGCCGTCCTGCGGACAGATGAGCACTAGCGCTGTGCCGCGGCATACAACCAGCCCGAGACTGCGTGTTGAGTCCTCGGTCAGTTTGTAGGGTTCGTCCGAATCACGCAAATACTCCACGGTGTTGTCTAGCACCAGATTTAGGAGGGCATCGTAACCTTTTAGAATGCCGGACGCCTCGCGACCGCCAGCGAATTTGACGCGTATTTGCTTCTCCAGATATTTGGATAGATCCAGAATAGACTCCTTGCGGCGCTTCTCCTTTCCATCGTTGTTGCCACCTGTCTAGGAAGCGAGGAGCAACTAAATACATAATCTTTATAACTGTTTAATTGCTTTTTTACCTTTTTATCAGCCATTTTGATCTTAATCGTTTGCCGGTTTCACAAACCTGCACAATGTTTATTTATCGATATCGATAGCCGGCGTTACAGCGTAGCCACAATGAGTGACGTCAATCGATACTTTGCAATAATGGTGCATCAGTATTTTTTATGATTGTTATATCGGAACTTTAAAAAATACTAGCTTCAGAGGGCCGTCTAGCGATATATCGATAAATTGTATATAAAAATTGATTATATTAAGATTAATTTGGTGGAGTACTATCTAATTTTAGAAATAGATGTATAGAGTAAAAAGGCCAAATTCATATGCCGATGCACTCAGTACAGCTAGTTATAAAACTAAATTAATCGACTGTGACACCAAACTATCGATGACGCATTTATTTATGACATCGTAAGCATTTCACCTCTAGTGCACACTCCATTTTGTTTTCTCACGATACCGATACCGACACGACGCTTGAGAATAGTTTTTTGTACAAAAAAGTCGTAATTTATTAGTATTAAACCGAGCGCCTTGTCTTATTCAAGTGTTTAAAGCAAAGTTCATATAATGGGTCGTAAAAAGAAGAAGGCCTCCAAACCCTGGTGCTGGTATCCTTTTCAAATAAATCAAATGAAAATTTTACAGTTCTCGTTTCGCCTTTACGTGTGCGCTGCGAGCCTCGCTAAAAAAATTTGTATCTACTCACGCACACACACATACTTGTGCATTTATATAATGACGAGTGTTGTTGTCGGCAACGCCGAAAAACCTCAAAAAAATCTTGTTCTTTCCTTAACCCATATAACTAACTAACTAACTTAGGTACTGCAATCGCGAGTTTGACGATGAGAAAATTCTCGTGCAGCATCAGAAGGCGAAACACTTCAAGTGTCATATATGCCACAAGAAGCTGTACACGGGTCCGGGCCTCTCCATACATTGCATGCAGGTGCATAAGGAAACTGTGGATAAAGTGCCAAACTCGCTGCCCAATCGCTCAAACATTGAAATTGAGATATTTGGCATGGACGGCATTCCAGCGGAGGATTTGCGTGATCATGAGCGTCAGAAGAATGGCGGCAAATCCGACTCGGATGATGATGAGCCGGCGGCCAAGAAGAAAGTTGAATGTGAGCACCAACATTACGCAGAAAGTTATTCAAATCAATGGCTGCAAAACATAAATTCAAAAGAATTTACAGAGTGAGGCTTGGTTTATGAATCTAATTTTTAACATCTTCCCTTACCACGGGTTGGGTTGGAATCCGATTTTCCAAGAAAATAAGATACTCCTATCTAAACTTAAACATCTCGTTAAAAACGGAATTGCAGTTCGTGCTTTGTTTTGCAGCCATTGTTTAAATACATCCATTTGTAATTGTAGCTTCCGAACATATGTTAAAGGTTCCTGCCTTTTGTTTTAATTGCCTCCTCATATAAATATAATATATCTCGTATCACTTCCTTGCAGATCCCATGTCTGTGCCGCCGCCCATGATGATGCCACCCAATATGATGCCGCCACATATGTTGGGTCAGTATGGCATGGGCATGATGCAGCATATGCCGCCATTGCCTCCATACCCGATGCCAATGATGCCGCACATGATGCCGCCGCGACCCATATTCCCAGCAGCAATGGCAACCACCTCAGCGGCAGCTGCCGCAGCAGCCGTGCATCATCATCAGCAACAACAGCAGCAGCAACATGCCGCTGCCATGGCCCAGCAGAAACCCACGTTTCCGGCATACAGGTTAGGCTTAAATAAATATGATGTTTGTGCGGTCATAATGTATTATGTATTATTTTTTGTTTTGCAGCAACGCCACCATAAGTGCTCCACCAACCACCAATAGTGCTGGTGTAGGCGGCGGGGCGGCGTCAAACGCTGCACCCGCGCTTGCACCCGATCCACACAATCAGGGACGCCCGCCAAATGTGCCCAATGCGAGCAGCAGTGGCGGCGGCGGTGGCAGCGTTGTAGCCGCAGTTAGCACAAAGATAATGCATCCGGCGGAGGATGCCAGCCTGGAGGAGTTGCGCGCACGACAGCCAAAGTATCAGGCGCGTGTAGCTGCCGGATTGGTTGCAGCCGCTGCAGCGCCCAAAAACAGCAGTCCAACCACGAATAACAATGGTAGTGGTGTTACTGGTATTGTTGGCATTGGTGGCATCGGTGGTGGAAGCGGAGGCAGCGCTGCCTCATCAATGCCTTCAACGCCGCCACCGCCCTCACTGTCCGGCATATCGCCAACGGGCAGCTCTGCCGCCGCGAACGCAATCGCTGTCAGCACGGCCATCTCCAAGGCACAGGAAGTGAGTTCTTATCATAGTTATAGAAACCATAGTCAATATAAATGAGCAGACGCAGACGCACAGACACCGACATGGACTTGTACAAAAGACAAAAACACACAGACACAACATAACTCACAACAGACATTGCGAAACACTTGCAACACTTAATACACACACATGTATATATATATATATATATATATATATATATATATATATATTTATATACATATATATATTTATATATATGTATGCATAACAATTCGTATGCAGATCTACAAAATTTACTGAGACTTTGTCGTGTTTAACGCGTTGCGCATTTTAACAATTCCAATTATACATCCACGCAACTATACGCTGGACATTATATAGTTTTATTTTTCTTATTATCGCATATGAAGCGACTTTTGGTTCAATTATTTTTGCAATTTCGAAGAATGCGTGCACGACCACAGAAAACGGCCGACAATGGAACACGGAAAGAGTTTTACAAAAAAAATAAAAAAAAAAAAAAATAAAAGAAAAGAAAAGAAAACAACATAAAAACCAGATTAACAATTTAGCATATAGTATGATATATGTCTGTACAATTTTTTAATTAAACATACAAATTAATGGCAACAAAACTGAACGGCGGCTTTCAATTTTAACACCAAGTTAAGTCAATTTAAGATTTTAATAAGAGCACGAAAAAAAAAATAAAAAGAAAATCTAAAAAAAAAACAATAAATATTGCAGCGGCGAGCGCGCATTTCGAATTTGCAAAGATATATACATATAGCTGAACTGTGATCACAGTTCAGAATGCCTAGCGAGAATCTTAAGTTTCTGCTTGGTTTAAAACAAAATACTTCCCAAATTTATTTACAGACCGCCGCCCTGGTGGCCGTGGCGCAGGCGCACGCGCACGCACAGGCTGCTCAGGTGGCACAGGTACAGGCCGCGCACGCGCACCACATGCAGGCCCAGGTGCAGGCGGCTCAGGTGGCTCAAGCCGTCGCTGTGCACCAGCATCAGCAGGCTCAGGCGCAGCAACAACAACAGCAGCAACAACAACAGCAGCAACAACAACAACAGCAGCAGCAGGCACAGCAACAGCACCATCAGCAGCAACAACAGCAACACCAGCAACACCAGCAACAACAGCAACACCAGCAGCAGCAGCAGCAACAACAACAGGCGGCCCAACAACAGCAGCAGCAACAGGTCAAGCAACTGGAAGATCTCAATCGTGCTGTGATGCTGCAACAACTGCAGGTGGTGCGTCAATCGGGCAATCCTGGCGCAGCTGCAGCAGCGGCTGCTGCCGCTGCCGCGGGGCTGGGCATGGTAAGTGTTAAACTGCGGCCAGAGCTCTGTACAGCGCTCGCTGCCAACAACGACATCTTTTCCAATTTGACTAAAATCCTTGAATGCTGTATCTCTCAATTTTCTCAAAGAAACAAAAAAGAACTACTTTTAACTTGTTCTCTATAAGGGTGACAACTATTATGCCCAACCATACAGAATGTTCGGGTCTAGCCACTTTTGCTGTAGCGGCTCGTGTCGATATATACCATTTTTTTGACCGCCCCAGTGTAGAGCTCACCATCATCATCATCCCAGTTCATTTGCAATTCATTTAGATATAGACGAGTCATTAAAATCTGAGCTTTATACAAGGGTTGTATACGAATGAGAACTGATCGACAATTGTTATCGTTATAAAACCGTTTGCCTTTAAAGATAACTCCAATTACATTTGACATAAATCGCTTTATTATTTAACAACTTTTAACCTCTGAACAATTTTTTCTCTAATGTAATAATTTGTGGTAATTATCTTTCTTTTATATTGTTGAAAATTGTCGATAATGGGGATTATATTTTCCTCATATTTTGTCTTAAAATTTAAATAATGTTTACAATTCTAATTCTTCTTTTGTTGGGTTTAAGTATTGTACAAGTAACATTTCTATTTTCTTTCTTAATGCAATAATTATTATTATTATCATGCAAACTTATCTATTATCTCGAATTATCTATTAATTCGAATTCTACATCTGTTTGTATTTTCATTTACTCTTCCATTTCTTTCTTTTGGAGATCTCTTTAATCTTTTAAGATTTGATTGCATTGACAAAATTTCTGTTCCTGAAGAATATCAGCTTCTGCTCGTATACAATTCGCTTAGGATAGTCGGGGCTGCAGAAACTGTTCCTAACATCTACCTCTTAAGTATTCTACCTAAGCCTCTATTTCCTTCACACATTTAAAAACTTAGTCGAGCTCTAGCACAGTGACCATCTATGAATAATCTAAGTTAACAAAAAAGAAACAAAAAAAAAAATCTATACATATATCAATTTGAAAAGAATCTAATGTTGCAGTAACAAAATTAAAGTTAACATTACAATTGCAGTGCAGTACAGTTGAGTGTTGATAAACAAAATGCCAGTTGCAGGGCCGACAAACAGTTCTATACTACAGTATGTATTTTTGTACACTTCACTTTTCATAAAAAAAAAAAAAAATAATAAAACAAACAAACAAAAAAGTAGCCCCAAATGCGAATTACGAAAGATAAGTAAATGCCAAAATTTCATTATAATATGATATGTATACAATACTCGTAATCGTACTCGTACATTACTGTACTTACTATGCAAGTATTACTCGTAGTAGTCTAAGCAAGTTCCTCCCACAAGAAAATAATATTTAAAAAAAAAAAAAAAAAACACCCATCCATCCAGCCCCCAACAACATAAGCATACTTACATACCCCACATTACATACATTTACCCACCTAACCATTCCAACCAAAATGTTCCCCATCGACTATGATATATCTATAGTGATAATGGTAATGCAAATGAAAGTTCCATAGTACGTACTGCCTTGCAAGCACATTAACGTTAAACGTTTAACGTCAACGTAAGCGTTAACGTCACGTAACGTAATGTTGAGAGTTATTAACTATGCAAGCCATGTAAGTACATTTTGTATAATTAATTCTATTAAAATTACTTTGAACTTGTCGTAATGGTTGCTGCGTTGGTTGGTTAATTGATTGATTGATTGATTGATTGGTTGGTTGATTGATTAATTCATATCCACACAAAAAAAAATACTACACACAGCATTAAATATATAATATATTTAAATGTATTGATATCTATTTAAAAAAACACACACACACACAACATACACACACTCACTCACACAACAAATCAATTTTATCTAAATGTTTTTTATCTGTAAATTGTACAACGTATTTCCATACCTTCGTATCCTACACAAATTTTAAACACACATTTTTTTCATCATCTATGTTATACCTCTAAGCGCAACAGACTCCTCTGTGCTCGTGCATCCTTCTGTCTCTCTATCTCGCTATACATACCATATATATATATATATATATAATGAATATATATATATCTCATCTAAACTAACACTTTTGGTTGTTCTATCCAAAAATTGTACACTTTACAATATACACTTCGAGCTGGTACCATCTGCGCTTTTTACACAATGTTCCACTTGGTTTAATGGTGCGATTTAGATATCTTTCCGAAATATTAGACTCATTTTTAGCCTAAAACTAAAAAAAAAAAAAATGCCCTTGTTTGCTCGCATCTTTCTAACCGTCTTGGAATAGAGCTAAAACCCAGAGAAACTTTCAATATCCGATTATTTTCAACATTTTTAAAAATAATTTTGATTATTTTTTACATTTATTTTTAGAGGTGCTTCTTATAGTTAATTTACAAATAAGGGGTATCCTATTCTTAAAGCTGCTTCTTAAAGTTCATTAAAAAATCTTTTAAAGTTTCTAAATTTTGTGTACTCACAATTAATATATTTTAGTTAGGGGTACCCACTGTTTGAATAATATATATTTATAACATGTGATCAATAATTTTATTATACATTTGGATTATTACTTTTTAAACCATTTTTGGCGGTGCTCATAGTTTTTATTTCAAATCCAAGTTTCGTAAAATAATTCGCATTTAAATATTTTTTTATATATACAATTTTTTAAAATTATGTTAGTTCTTCAGCTCTATTCCATAACTACATTACTAACAGTATTACACAGTTAAACATATATTACGCCTCATACCGACCACGTCCACCATATCATAGCTAAGTATAAAACAAAGACTATACCTAACTATAAAGAAAGATTTAAAGCATTGGAACTTGAACTCGACAAACGTTGCCTGCCTGGTTAGTAACAGACTTTTTTTTTTTGTTGAAATCTTTTCTTAACGCAAGATCCAACAATCATTATTATAATTTGTCTTTTAAGTTGCTTTCTATCTGTAATATATAACAAAATATTGTTCGAAAATCATATGCGAAATGAAAGCGCGTGCGCGAGAGAAACTCTCTTATGAATTGTTTTGCCAAAGTGTTTTTTAAGGTCGAGATCGTAACGTAACGATCTGCCCTACCCCATACCTACTCATCGTCGTCAGTTCAGTTTCCGAATTGTAAGTACGTTTCTTTTTTAACCAACAATTTAATTTTCTTTCATAATATCTGTATTTATTTTCAAATATGTATTTATTTATTTGCTATTTTTTTAATTCAAATGCAAAAAAAAAAAAAAAAAGCAAATTGTTTGCTACAAACATAATAAGAGAAAAGTTACTCTCTTTATCTGTCTCTCTCTCTCTCTATATATATATATATATATAAATCTATATATATCTCATTGTAACATTGTAATGCGATGCAAAAGTTTCGACAACAACAACAACATCAACAACACACACACAACAGAACACACATCTATTTTATTCATTTAAAGAATAAGTACGCAAAAACCAACTTATTATTAATATATTCTAAATACCAACAAGAAAACCAAAAACAAAACAAAAAAAAAACATAATTAATAACAACTTAGCTAATTTTGTGTACAATGGCTTCGATATACACACCCAACACGTCCATCAGAATGCAACTAAAACCCTTTAATTCTACCTCTCTTCCATGCTCTTCTGTATCTTTACGCAACGCCCATCTGGTCCACAACCTGCAGATGCCATTGCCCGGTCATGTGCAGCTAATGCAGCCCATGCTGCGACCCGGAACTGTAGCCATCGGACCTCACGGCGCCCTGATAGGTGGCAACATGCTGCGTCCTGGTCCGCTGCCCGGCATGCCAGCAGGTGAGTACACTCCATGAATTTGTTTGTAACTGTCAGACTGACTGATTGATTGACTGACTGACCGACACAGCCGAAACCGTAGGAAGTTACTTAATTAACTCTCATAAAATTCCACATGTAACTGCGGAAACTTGGTGGAAACGTATGTATACGTATCAGATTCATTTTATAAGATCTTGAAGATCTATCCAAATGAAAATGGTTGCCAAAGTCTGAGAAGATGAATCTTCAGGTTTCGTCAAGCTCGATGCGGCTTAAGACAACCTATCAAACATTTCCTCGTTCATCTCCTGGGGTTGAAAAATCTTTTTATTTTTGTTTCCCTTTTATGAGAAATGGGTGGAAAGGAGGTAGGAAAAAGTTGCCCCTTGCAAAGCCGGGTACACCCGCTAAACTAGCACATTTATATATCTATGTATATGTCTGAAAAGAATCTCGAATTAAAATCTCGAAACTTGCAGGTTTGCTGCCCATGCAGGCAATTGGATATCCTGGCTTGCCTGCTGGCGCGATGCCTATGCCGGGCATGGGCGTCATGCTGCCCGGACATCCGAATATGTTGCAGATGATGCAGCCGCGTTTCAGATGATGCCTGCCCGCTGCTGCGCCCGGACTCTTGCAGGCGCCAACGCAGACGCATCCACAGCATGTGCGTTTTCAGCGGGCCGGATTGCCGGCGCTGCATCCGCAGGCTCAGGCGCAGGCATCGCTGGTGGGTTTGCCGCTGCCGTTGCTGTTCCATGATTGAGAGGCGTGGCCGCTGCAGATTAACAAAAACTACAACAACTAGTGCAAAGAAAAAGCAATCACAACAACTGCAAGCAAGTTTTCATACTCAAGCTACGCAATTCCAAAAGCTCTTTTTTAAATGTATAACAGTTTTGAGATACGTACACACACACGTCACACAGTCACAGGTTGCACCCACACACCCACACACACACACATACATACACACAGATACACTAACAGCAATATGCGTAGTAATACTTTATATATGTACGAGTATCTCCTAGTTGATGCACTCAAACTTTGCTTTTCGTAATTGACCAAATTCTTAACTTTTCTACTATATATATTTTTTTAACATCAATTGGTTAACTGGTATGTGCACTCTCTGCCTTCTTGCATAACAACATACTACATATTTGTCAAAACACTAATCAACACTGTAACAATTAAACAACACTACGCTGTGTACGTGTGCGAAGGTATACCGAAGTGAATCGCATTGCATCGCATCGCTTCTCATCTGGCGCTCTCTTTGCTAGCACGCGGTTCTCTTTGCTGTACTGTTGCTGTAGTTCTTACTCTCTTTCGCTCATATAACTCTCTATCTCTCTCTCTCTCTCTCTCTATATATATATATCTATCTCTCTAGTTATATTTGTAACTGTATTTGTACAATACCAGCAAATTACATAATACTTTATTTACTAATATAATACCATAAATAATGTATTTTTGTTTACATTCTTTTCATTATTTTTTCTATATAAATATTTTTTTAGTTACATTTAGAGCTCTGGGGCTCAAGCATTCGTACGCCCCGTCTAATTTATAGCCTAAAACAAAAGAAAACACGTATGTACACGTTGTTATACTCGCTCACTCACTCTCTCTCTCTCCTTTTTGCCATGTCTTTATTCTCAGATAGAAACGAAACCGTACGCTCCCCCCGGGTAAGAATCGGGCAATTATTTAAATACATTATAGAAATACATATATTGTAATATTGTGTGCGAATTTGTATTGTCTGTGCGTAGCTATTTTTTTTAGTTAAATGTCCAATGTGCGATGCTCCACAACTGTTATACATACTGTTATACAATATGAATATATGTAACCCATAACTGCATTTATGTGCCCCCTTTCCCCCCGCTCTGTGACATAAAAACCAAAAGTTAAAAAAAAAACCGTCGTCTCTCATCCACTCGTTACTCGTTACCCGTTATCCGTTACTCGTTACTCGTACTCGTTAGCCGCTGACAAAACTACTCGTAAGTTATGTACAAATTTTTATTCAACAACAAAAAAAAAAGTATTTGTTTTTCGTTTTGAACACACTTTGTTTCGTTTTGGTCAGCATCAATGCGATGCGCGCAGCCCACAATCAGGTATCTACATCATTTTCTTTTATTATTCATTTATACATAATATCCTAAATAATTTGTCTTGGTTATGGTATCGTACTAATCAAAATCAAAATCAAAATCCATTCAAAAATCAATAGTTATTAAAATAGTTCTTTCAACGTTTCCAGTTAAATACCGCACATTGTTAGTAAGTACATTCATTATAGTTTACTATTTGTTTCGATCTATATAACTAGCAATCCATAGTTAGTTCCTTCGTTAATGTAGTGCTCTTCCATTGGTTCACAGACTCCATAACTTTAGCTTCCTAGGCAACAAAAGTTTAACACAATCAGGCTGAGGCTTTATTAGTGGCTATTACTCAAGTCCACATCTATAACTACGTATAATTAGATATTTAGCTGCTAAGTTGTTCACTCAATTCATTGTTTTTCTATTGTAGCTTGAAAACCGAAGGGTGTAGTACACTATATATATATATGTATGAATTGAGTTCTGGCATGATTTCAGAATCGGTCTGAACAGAATACTCTTTCCCAGTGTTAGCCTAGGCTAGTCAAATTTTAGCACACACCGCCCCCAACCGCCCCTAACTATCAAATACCATACCACACTAACTTGTATTTATAACTCATATATCCTATATCGTATACCTATATATCTCCATATATATATGTAACTGTAACTATATAGCATAAGCGTAAGCAAAGACAAGTGAAAAAACTGCCAATTTTGACGGTTTTGTACCGTTAGTTTGGCCAGTTTAGCGCAAAATTGATGTTGGACTCTCGGGTCTGGCATTTTCGCCGCATCGCTTTCCGATGCCCCGCCCCTTCCCCTGATCCAGTGGGCTGGTGGTGTTATGCGATGTTAGAACGGCGTGCTTCAGACGAGTGTACCTCAATGCGGGACAGACAGAAGTCGGTAATTAATTGGTGGCTACTTACACACCCACACACACACGCACATACTCATAACTACTAGTTAAGTACTTGACAAGAACTATCGTATCTCTAATTGTGAACGCATCTGTAAATATATTTTTGATGGCCGCGTTTTGTAATTGTTTTTTCGTAAACCTATACTTAATGGATTTTTCATAATATCCAAATCTATTTATTCTTATTTTGATTTATTGGTGACGGTCATAGTTTGATTATTTAGCTGAACTAGTTTATTATTATACTCTTGCAGATATTGATCATAAAATATTTCAGCGTTTTCCATGTTAATAGCTATGTCCGTCTATTTCTGAGAGTTATTTATAAAACCTTGCATAGTTCCAATTGTTTGGGAAGAAACGATCAAAATTTAACGCTTGTTAGTTTTCTCTTTTTTTTTCAAAATTTCGATGAGGACCATTTTATTTAAATCGAACTATTGATATTTTTCCTTATTGGTTAACAAAGCTTTCATAAGATGAATTTTTGTTGGCCTTTTTTTGTTGAATATTCCTTTTATTTAGATGTATTGATCAATTTTAGATTTGCGCGCTGTTATTTGACTGCAAGGGTATTTCAATTTCGGCCATCCGAAGATAACTTTTCTTACTCGTTTTCATTTTTTGATCTATATTTTGTACCATATATTGTACAATAACTAATCGTAAGCTGCACGCGTTTATTTAAAGTACAAAAACCGAACTAAGTAGTTTCTTATAGGTGTGTGTTTTATCTTATACGTCGAGCCACCAATGTCTGTCCTTAGCGCTGGGCGACACGCGAGTAGCTGGACAAAGCGCAGATCTCAATACACACTCAACACTCTATACCCTACTAAAAAACAATCTGTAATTGATCTGCGCGTCCAGTCGAAAGCGTGTCACATTAATTTTGCTGAGCGAAAAGTTCCCTGCGTCCAACTCTCTCTCTTTCTCCCAAATTGAGTGCGTTTTAAGTGCGACTCAACTTGTCCCTTATCCACACACACACACACACACACACACAACTCTTTTAACGACGCAGGCGATGTGCTGCCCCCTATTTTTTTTACCACCTCTTCCCCCGCGCCATAATGCACATCACAGTTGCCTAACACAACTGTTGGACTTTTCGGTCCTTGTCTTGCAAGAGCTCTAATACTTATATATCTCTATACACACACACTCACTCACTCACTCACTCACACACACACAAATGCATACCGCAGGAGGCGTTCACGATGACCACGCCCACATCATTTGTAAAGCATCGCAAGCGCAGGCATCAAACAGTTTGTGTTTTTAATGTTAATTGTGATTAAAAATTTTTTCTTATGGATTATGGATTTTGCTATTTTTGATGTCCCCTACTTGGTTTTTCGCCCGATAACAATTTCGATAACAATTTCGATAAATATGCTTTAAAAGTAAACGCGGCGGCGTTCAACAATCAACAAGTCTAGTTTAAACCTTTGCCAAAGATGATTTTTGTGCGCCGCCCCAGCGCACTTTCGAACTCAAGGTATATCCTATATGTCATATTTATATAATTGATATTGATATATTAATTGATCAAATAATACGTTTACAAGCTTTGATTCGTTTGTTTTTTTTTTTTTTTGTTGCATTTAACTAAAGCCTACAAAATAAGCGTATTTTTGTAATGTTTTTTTGTGAACATGGTTTGTTCTTTCTGCTAATTACAATCTATAAACAATTTACTACACGAATACTTAGCTAATGCAATTAATATTTAGTGCAAATGCATAAAATCAAAATAAACAAAATTGAATACATTGCGTATGTTAAAAGTTTTAAATGTTGTAATGAGTAAAGAACACAAAAAAAATATACATTTTAGCGTTTGTACAAGAAATGTTTCTACCAAAAAAAAGATATATATATATATATATAAACATACACAACATACTTTAAGCATAACAACAAACAGGTTATATAAGCAATAGTTTAAAGTCCTTTTAAACGAAAAAAAAAAAAAAAAACAAATCGCATACTGATAATATTTCTAGTTTAATGTTTTGATTGTTCTCTTCTTTTTAAATTTAAATTAATTTATTGAATTTTAATAAATAAAATTTACTCCATATAAATAAGAGTTTATGTGCCTGACAGTTTTAAGCTGGATTATAGATTATCTATAGATATAGAAAAAGACTATCTGCGAGTGAAATACATTTCCACATGTGCGGAAAAGAGGTGGAAGTAAAGTAGCTGTAACTCATTTCCATCCATTTTCCACCCGTATTCGCAATTGATGAAAAACTTTCTCACCAATATATGTAAATGAATTTGATGCAAATTGGAAGAAACTTAACTTCTAATATATAGCTGCTATAGAAAAGAAACAACCCGTCTTAAACTAGACCCGATCAAGTTATATTATGAAGGTGATTTAATTTTTAGCAGACCGAGCATAATTTTACTGGAATCTTTCACCCGCTCTCATCAAACGCACAGCATGACTGGCTTCAGGTTAAGAGAACCAGTTCGACAAAAACCCAAATACTGCTTTACTCATGGGCTATTCCCCGCGGATGGCTGCGTCAGGCTGGCTGCGATTACAATTATATGATTAAAGCCGATAGATCTGGCATTTGTAGGCCTATCGCGCTATGTGTGGGACTTGCTTCAGGGGCTTGTCTGCCGCAGAGCCAAAAGCAAGAGCTGATAGTCGTGGGAGTATCCATAATAACTGCGAGCCGTTACTTTGTTACTGCTCGACATTTGATGGAACGGATTGTTGTAACGCCTGAACTGAGAGCCGTCCCAAGACTGTACGCTAATACATAAATGCGTTAGACTGACTAATTTCAAGTTCACTGGAATTCCAAAGAAGTCGCGTATACACAGCTTCAAAGACTGCATGCTGGCTCAAGCTCGGCATTAGTCGGCATAACTCTCGGGTTTGTCTCATTGGGCTTTCAGTTTCGTTGCGAGCGTCGTTCATGTCGGTTGTGTTTTTGGATATCTTGTGCGACAATTTGAAGGTGTGTGTTTGTGTGCTTACTGTACTCGCCATAGAGCGTTAGTCGAACAAGTTAAAGATTGGCTCAAATCGAAATAAATCTGGCAAAACAAAAGACTTAAGACACAAACTTGCAGGCGAATGTGCGACAAACCGTTTGCATAACGACTGACACGCCCCTCAGCCCACTAACGCCTCTACTTTCAACTGTCGCTAGTGCATGGGCTGTTGGTTTTTGATTTGGCCAACAAATCGTATTAAGTAATGTTTTAAAAAAAAGCCGCCAGTGACTAATTCACATTAAAAAACTGCTACAAAAATTGATTATTATTCACGAGTTGCTAATAAAAATCGCCAAAATTTTAATGTTGTCCACCAGTAATTAAGAACCCAAGACTCAGAATAACAAAAATATAAAATAACATATTAATGTGTCTCAAAGAGCGTACATAAAATAAAAAGCCTTTGGCTATTACATGGCCAAAAACTTGAATTTTTCAGAGCGTTAAACGAGTATTTGAAGCCGATTCGCCAAACAAAAGGCCCAAAAGCGAATATGCCTGAAAGCAAGACTCGCGAAAAATGCTTGTAATAAATTATAAAAAAATAAAAAAAAAAAAAAACAAAAAACAAGAAACAAACCTGACCAGAACGTGCACATCAGAAGCAAAATAAATATAAGAGGGCAACATAACAACAGGCACTCAAGCCATGACTCGAGTGTTAGACAGACACATCAGTCATTGAGTTTGCTAATGGCCCTGACGAGACGTGCGAGAAGAGTCGAAGATCAGAGTGACCCAAATGAAACAATGAATGCCAGAGCTATCTGAGCTATATATCTTCAAAGTGCTGGCAGAACCTCAAACTTGAGTGTGAACTAAAATGTCCCTTTATTCAAGATATCTAAGGTTATTGTTATCCCTTTCTTATTGGAGGTTTTACTCTCTAATATCTCAGACATATATTTTGTAAGATTCTGCATAAGATAAACATTTTTTTAAAATTATATAATCAATTTAGGTTTCTACAGCTACTATATTTCTTAACAGCTCAAACTTAAGAGCCTAATCATAACATAAATACACTTTTTTTAGCTTTAGTAGTTCTTTATGAATTACAATTCTGAATAGCTTAAACTTACTGAGTGTTGCCATGCTTAAAAGTTATTTTTGCCACCAATTCGTCTCAATCTCAACATTAAATTACTATCTAAATATTCGTACATAGCTTCAACCTTGTCAACATGTTTACAAGTGCTTAATAAATTTCAAATTAAGACCGAATGGTATATGATACTCTTGATAATGGCTTTCTTGAATTATATAGAGATCTAATAAACCAAAGTTCCAGCTTGTTATTAGAGTTAGTATAGGGTATAGTTAAACAGCATTGACTACTAAAGTGTTTCAGTTAAGATATGGCAACCTGGCCGTAGTCTGGGATTCGAACCTATAAATATAAATATTTTTAGTTATAAAGCAATTATTTCTAGCTATTTATTACCTTTACCCAGATGCATGCTTTGAAGGGTATTCGGTTGGCAAGCTAACACAAAGCTGACAACCTCTCGAACATGCTACAATAGCCAAGACAGACTCTTGTCTGACAGTTTCCAAATTGCCAGCTCAGAGAGCCAAATGACGGGGACAACTTTCAAATTGACTTTTGCACAACGGAGGCGCGGCTTTAGGTTTCGATTTCGGTTCGCTTTAGTATCCGGAGCTCCAATCAACTCAACGCAACTCGACTCAACTCAAGAGCAATATATATTTGATCTCGATTTTATGGCTATGTGAAGGTCGGCTGTAACTCGATTAATTTGGTCCATAACATTTAATATTGCAGCTTGAATATGGTAACTGCCTGTGCCTGGATTGTGACGGCAGCGATGCTGCTCTGCGTGGGTTTGGCCGGGGCCAAAGATAATCTGCGTGTGGCGTACGAATGGAGGGAAATGGATTTCAAATACGAGAGTCCCGATCAACGCTGGTCGGCCATAGAGAGCGGCGCCTTCAAGCCGGCCAATGTGATACCCTTTGGCCTCGAGGTCTATCGCCAGCGCCTGTTCGTAACTCTGCCCAGATGGCGCAATGGAGTCCCAGCCTCGTTGGCCTACCTTGATCTGAATGGTAAGTGTTGTTAGTACTGTATAATTAATTCAGGGGAAGGCGGCAAAAATTGCAGTTTAGTTTATGCATAATGCTTAAGAATCGCTCCGAGCTGAAATCTCAGCTATTGCATTGTCTTTTCGCGTGGGACTTACAAGCTGTTTGGCTATAGCTTTGTATCGGATAGATTTGCATTGCGTGCTTTTCATGCTAGAGATGGGCGCGTGCCAATGTTATTTTCAACACGGCGCAAACACGAATCGTAAATTGATTGTTAGATTCTGGCATCATCTCTTTGGCCAGGTTGCAGTATTTTTAGTTTCACGCTTTAAAATGCTATTTTTTTCGTGTTAAGTTCGTGACATGAAAATCGGACACGTGCTCAGCTCTATTTCATACACGGTCCAGACAATTTAGTTTTCTTGCATTCGCACTTGTTGCATTTAATTGCCTGAGGGTTGAGAGTTCTGGGCGAATTCTCAGCGCGTCGCTTACGTAATTAATAAGCTGTAAAACAACAACAACAATAAAAACGAGATAAACAAAAGATCTTCGGAATAGAGTAAATAAACAAATAAAACTAATAATAAACACATAGAGGGTGGGTGTATGTATTTGATAGATAGTATATGCACGTATATATGTATCTATATGCAAAACTAAGGTGTATAGTAGAGTGATGTATATGTAAACATCTGGGAGGAAATATTTATTCTCCTGACGCATCGTAAAGATCATGTGTATATTTAAATCAATTATTTCCGATCGATCGAAAGGTATATCCACATGCAAAACTTTAAACGCTTTTCCTGCTAATTAGCATAGCAGAAAATAATTATATGGTATATATAGGAGTCGTTCTGATCGGCTCATATAGTTGTTATATATATAATATATATATGCGGATATAAAATAATTTGCCATACGCAGATGTGTGGGTTAGTATAGGAGATATACTTATGTCGCAAGTTTCAGGGATATGTTTGTAATCGGGTTTAATTTTGTTTCCTGTTATAAAAACTCGGTTCCTTATAGGTTGATTGACTGAGTAACTTTCTCAAATCACCAAGAACCGTGAAGCAAATTTAAATATCTATAGCTCCTAAAAACCCTGGTCATATACCATGCCACTTAGACTGGGTATAGGTAGCAATAAGCTTATCTGCACATATAAATGCTTTCTCAAGGTTGACTGCAACTAATCCACGAATCCACCACATACATTACCTGCCCTCTGAGTATCACTCGTTCGAGGGTATTACAAGTTGTACCATAATCTCGCTCCATATATGTCAAAGCAGCTCAGGTGACAAACATGTCGCATGAATCAGCGTCCAGTCGGAGGCATTGATTCATACGCAATTGAGTCGCAATTAGCATCAATGCAAATGACCAAAATCAACGCGTGTGCCATTTGTAGAGCATTCAACTTAGTTAAATGCCACAAATTAAACGTGTTTATTCGCATACTCTATACCCAACAGACACCTCATCCAAGATGCCGGCGCTGAGACCCTTTCCCAGCTGGGTGGCGCATACCCTGAGCGATGCCGAGCCGGAGCTTGTCTCGCCATTTCGCGTGAAGGCCGATCGTTGTGGTCGCCTTTGGGTGCTGGACTCACGCATCTCGGGTGTGCTGGAGCAGACCAAGCTGTATGGCACGGCACAGCTGCTGATCTACGATCTGCATAATGATGATCTGCTGCGGCGTCACATCTTGCCGGCGGGTCAGAGCAAGCAGAGCTCCTTCTTTGCCAATCTAGCCGTGGAGGATGCTGACTGCGAGAACACGTATGCGTATGCTGCTGATCTGGGCAGTCCGGGTCTGGTGGTGTATTCATGGCGGGATCAGGAATCTTGGCGTGTCCAGCATAATTTCTTTCATCCCGATCCGCTTGCGGGTAACTTTAGCATCAATGGCATTGAGTTCCAGTGGGATGACGGTTTGTATGGACTGGCGCTGTCCAAGCCTCAGTCGGATGGCTATTCCACGCTCTATTTCCATCCACTCAGCTCGACCATGGAGTTCTCTGTGAACAGCTCCGTGCTACGCAACAAAACTCTGGCCACCTCCGGCGCCATTTATCGTGAGTTCAAGATTTTGGGTTCACGTGGCACCAATGCCCAAGCGGGTGCTCAGTGCCTGGACGCAGAGACGGGCGTGCTCTTCTATACGCTGCCCAATCAGAATGCTGTGGCCTGCTGGAGAACTACAAAGAGCTTTAGCTCGCAGGATCACGTCTACGCCAACAACAACAATCTGATCTTTCCCAGCGATGTCAAGGTGGATGACCAGCAGCGTTTGTGGGTGCTGGCCAACCAGCTGCAAAGCTTCATCTACGATGAGCTATATCCGGGCAGCATCAATTTCCGCATATTCACGGCCAGCGTTCAGGAGGCCATTGAGCATACGGCCTGTGAGGCGCCCAAACCGCTGCCGGAGCTGGTCAGCAAGCTGGGCGAGGTGATCAGGACGAATATCAAGTTGAAGACGGCAGAGGATTCGAACTCTGTTGCTGGTTCGAAGTCCGCTGCGTCCGCTCTGACGCTTAGTCTGGGCGCCTTGCTGCTCGGCTGCTGTCTACAGCTGCGCTCATGGCTGCTCTAAAGGTCAGCCCCTTGTATATGCAACAACAACATATTCCAATGCGCTGTTATATAATTAAATGTAGTTTTCTAGCTGGTAGTTTTTGAATAAATATAAGAAATTTATTTAGACACACATTCACAGCACATTCAATATTTGCCCAATTGCGCTTTCTCCACTGTGAAGACGTCATTGATGTCCAGCGTCTCGACGCTGGCCTGCGATTGCCCATCCTCGGGGCTGTCGGAGCGATTGCGCTGCTCGTTCTTCAGTTGGAGGCGCTTTATGCAGTCGCCGCAGAAGAATAATGTTAACTAAAAGGAGAATTTGAAATTGAGAAGCACAATGTACAGATCCCAGTATATATTTACATGCTCCAATATGCCGATGATGCCCAGCACTGAGAGGCCAAGCAGAAAACCAAGAGAGCCACCGACATCTGCTATAAACTGGGTTGTATCATAGCTGGGACGCTCTTCAATCATCTGCTGAAACAGAGCTGGAATATTAGCACTTCTATTTAAAATTATTGAGGCAACAAAGAAGGAGAATCGGATTTGATACTCTGTTTTCCTTAAACGCTGGTTAAACAAGACTATTGTTAATTTGAATTACGGAATATTGTGGAATTAGAAATATAAATAAAGAAAATAGTGGCTTTATATAATATAATACTAAGCGATCGATATATAGATTTATAATACTAAGAAATCGATAACAATGAGCGTACCGATATCAGCTTGGTCGTGTAGTATATATAGAGCAATGTGCGCGGTTCGGGCTGATAGAAGGTTTTCCGGCTCTGTATGTAGGTCGTATAGATGCGCGACTCGCAAGGCTCCAGGCAGTCGCATTCGTAATCATCGCTGCTTTCGTACACCCTTTAAATATGTGGAAATACTATATGATAATGCGCAAATTTAACTATGAGAGTGCGGCTCACGCTCTGTAGTTTTCGATGAGATTGCGCATAGATTTCGTATTGTTGCAGGGCTCGTGATTAATCTCATGCATCCAGGGACCCGAGCAGTCCACCTCATCACCCAGATCTTGCCAGATGCATATCTCGCCACACTAAGTAATGTCTGATGTATCAGAATATTCAGCCTTACGGGAATTTGATTTGAATACCTTTAGATCACTGTAGCCGTCCGCTCTGGAGCAGGTTTCGGTGTGTGTTTCCACATTCGAAAATACCTGGCTCTGTAGCTTAATTTCAATTTCCTCATTGATGTTCACAAAGACATACTCCACGCGGCCCGAGCCTTTCATGTTGATCTCTATAGGCAGAAGGCACTGTAGTTAGCCCCTGCTTCTACCACAAAAGCTACCTACCCGTAAAGTTCTCGCGCTTGTCGTGGATGAACACGTGCCAGCCCGCGCCAGCCGTTAGATCCACATCGCTGGCCAATTTGTTCGCATTATGCTCCAGCATAAGGGAATAGCCCGCCGCCCTGGATACCCGTTTCATGGCCGTGACTGGACGCAGAGTGTAACAGCGACCCATATAAAAGTGTATGCTGCTGTCGATGACAACATCTTGTGGAAGATTCAGATGGTTGAGATTCCATTGGATCTATGCGGAGCTGTACTTACTATTTTTATCGCCATTCAATCCATATAGGTAGAATGTCTCGTCCTGTTCAAAGGTGCCGTTGGCAAAGAACTCTTCAAAGGGAATTTCACCAAAAGGATAATCCATCCAGCAGGTCGCATATTTCGGATGGGGACAATATCCACGGGAAATATTCTGTAAGTATCAGTACACAAAGGCAAGGATTTTATTTAAATTTGATTGAATCTAAAAAAAATCGATATCAAAACGACAGTTTTTAATCGATATATTTATTGATTCAAGTCGTTGTCATATTAAAATGATTGGAATTAACTTTTCATATAACTTTTCAACACTTTAAATTAGCAAACAGTGTTAAAAGAAAATGTTTTTTCCTAAAATTGAATCAAAAGTGAACAGAAAGAAAAAGTCAATGTGTCACTCTCATAGTCCTAGAACTGACTTTGCAGGCACACCCACAATCGCCCTGTCGCCCCAATTTAAGACATTGACATCTCACGTAATCAGAAAGTCTTTCTTCAAGCTGATTTTAACTCTTATTGAACTGTGAACGGAGTAACTGCATGTTTTTTTTTACAGGGACTCACTGTTAAAACATCCTCTCGATAGGGCGGTTCGCGACAAAGCGTAATCGCAGGCATTTCTATGGTGTGATTGACATTATAATACGAGTGCGTGGATATAGGCGGATCGGATAGCTTGGAAAAGCACTCGTAGAGCTGCACTATAACGATTATGCTGCAGACGAAGAGCACGAGGTAGCGTATGAGTTTGGCAGGATCGCGCAGGAGCCAGGCTCTTAGCTCCAGCCAGTAACCCATGGTCGAAGGAGGAGGTTAGCGCGCACGTAAAAGTGAAAACAAAGTGAATGTCAATGTCTCCAATGTCCGTAATATCTGCAGAACCTGACACATTCGCAATATCTTTGGCCGGCCTGCAAAAATTCTCACAGTTGGTCATGATAAGCTAATATTGATTTATGCGGCTTGCTAAAGCGCGGTACACTCAGAGAAAAGCGCAGTAATACATGTAAGTATGTATTGAAATTTACTTATTTTGAGTTACAAATTTTCCAAATTAAAATGCTGGGATTGAGCGGAAAAAAATGTTTAAAAATACTTTAAAATAAGGCTCATTATTATTTAGATTAAGTTCAGGATTTAGAAAAAATTTCTTTATAGAGAGATTTACATTTTAATTAACTTTAGGGCTAGGAAAAATTGTCTTTCTAGAAATTTTTAGAATTCTAGAAGCAAATGAAGGAATTAAGAAAATTTCTTGAAATATGAAGTTTATCCTCAACTCATTCAAAATTTGATAGTAGTTTCATTCTCAGTTATTTTTCTGAGTGTCTCCACCCGCCGATAAGGGCACCAGGTCTATAGCCAGATACTCGTATCTAACTGCAACTGTAACTCCACAAATCGGCGTATCAAAAACATGTGTAGTGCCTGGCTGGATTATGGCCTTGTTTATGTTCGATTTTCATGGAGTTAACCACGTTTCGGGCGTTAAATTACCAAAACATATTCTTTATAATTGTTTACGATGTGTGCGCAAATACGCGTCTAACAGATACTCTTTATGGCTATGGGTAATTTCAATGGCCATGTCTATGGCGATGGGAAATCAGCGTTTTAGTAGACATTTTATGGCTCTATGTGTTTATTGGTTGAATCATGGCAATTCATAAAAAGGACTACACCAGTGAATGGAATGGATGCATTCAGCAGGGGATAAATCAATATTCACTTCTCTTCAAGATACTCAAGAGCTTAACACCTTGGGCTTAATCGGTTTGGAAGAACGTTAAACCAAAGAAATAATGGTCGATATATGATATAATATTATATATATATAAATTATATATAATTATAATAATGTTTTCTGCAAAGATTATTTAATTCGAATATTTTCAGCTAAGCTTTGGAAAATCTAACAACAGATTCTGGCTCGCTAGGACTTTTTACTTAAACGAAAGTCTTTCCATAAAGACACGTTGTAAAAACATTTCTTACTTAATTAATAGACTAGATAGATAGACCCAAATCTATCGTATATCATTCTTCAGGATTTTTCTTAGGAAAGCTTTAAAAATGGGTATAAGGGTATATTGTATTTGTGCAAAATCCATTTTTGCTGATTTAGAGCAGCATCTAAAGATGCCGGGCTTACGTAAAGGCAGTCATGTATATATGTCTTTATGTATCTGAGTATATATATGCACATATATATATATATATATATATAAATATATATGTATATGTACATATATAGGATAAGTTATGACACCTTTGCCTCAAAATGTTTTGACCTTAGCTCTCTGAAGCTGATCGAATGCTTGTGATATATATGCCATGTACTAAACAGAGCATGTATCTAGTTATACCTTGAGCTTTACAATAATAACAATTGTGGGAAAAACAAATGAAAGACAAGCTAAACAATGCGTGCGTATCCAGCAGAAGCCCCAGAGCCAAAGCATTCCACAATTGTGACGTTAAATCAGAGCAGAGCAAAGAAGAGATGACGAGACGGGCGGCGGGGAGTGGAGGGTAGAGCATTGCCGAAACGTCAGTCGAATCGAGTGCGACCCACTGCTATACAAATATATGCATATATATATATATATATATATATATATATATATATGCATGTATTGGCTATATACTACACACACACACACAGAGATACAGGCAAAAGGCACAAAACTAATAAACAAAAAGAAACTTGCGACTAAAAATAGACAAATTGAAACATTTTCGAGATGAAAAATCCAACACTGCACTACAGAAACGGGACGTGACTGTGTGGACTGTGTGAATGTGGATGTGATTGTGCAGTGCCTGACTGGCAAGAGTTTTATTTTCTTTTTGCTTTACTTTCGACAGATACAGCTCTGCGGATGCGCATCTGTATCTGTGAGATACATTTGGACGGACCACACGGCGTATGCTTTTGCGCTGCTCAGGACACAGCCACGATTTTTGGCCCCGGCTGTGTGTCTGTCTCCCTCACTCTGTGTGTGTGTGTGTGTCTAGTAAATTTTAGATATTCGTATAGATATTTTGAAATAGCCACAAGCAGCACCACGAGATACGGCTGCACAGAACAAATTTCATTTCTGTGAAGTTCTTCGCTTCTTCGCAACTAAATAGCTTTTGTTTTAAATTTAGACCAAAGCAGCGGCTATATTAAACGCATATGAATGTTTTTTAGATTTAGTAGATACACACATACACATATGTATTTAGCATGTATATAGCTATAGTGTATATATGCACACCTCGATGTGAGCTGGCCGCAACTGTTGTTGTTTATGTTCGTTCGTTTTGGGGAAGCTTAGCACATGGCCTCAGCTACAGCTCCAATGGTCGACAACGGCTTCAGCAGCCCAAGAACTGACCCATATATATATATACAGATATATACAATCCGGCTTTGGCTTTTACCTGTGCGTGGAGTATGAAATATGTTTTAAAAATACTTTTAGCTTGTCGTTAATAAATTTAAGAAAAATCTTATTTCTACATTCATATGTAGCACATATGTACACGCTAATGTATTTGCTATACTGACTCATTTCAGTGACTGTCTATAGCATTTCGCATATGATTAATCAATTGCGCGCAGTGGCGTCGCCCTTGGGGGGCTGCGTAGCGCTTAAAATCATGGGGGGCTTAGCGCAGCAGCAGCCTCTGTTTTGCGTTTTACAAAAAACATTTTCATTTAGCATTTTCACTCATCATTAATAAAAGTCTGGCCGTCTGCAGAAGGCACCTACAAATGCACATACATTGATTATTGCATTCGGATGCACTTGAGTTCTATGCACATTTGCGGTATGTGTGCAGTCAATTTAATTGGGTGACAAATGCTTACCAAAATAATTTTAATGCTCCACACATCAATGACTAAGTCGAAATGATTCGATTTTATTGGCTAATTAAGAAACGATATATAGCCTTATGGAAATATACATATATTTATTCAGATAACGCGTGTCTGATTTTCAATTGAGCCCAGGCAATTAATCAACATATTACCACACGCATAAGTATCATATATTATAAATACAGGAACTTAACTTGTATATGTTTTATAATTTTATTTAAAATTAATCACCCAAGCTCTATTTCGATTTGTTTTGCCATTAATTGCATTTTAATTGCAATCTATTACGCGTTTTTAAGAGATTTTCTAGGTCTTTTTAAGGGTTGCTGTAAACATATTATTTATTTATTTATTTTTTTTACAATTTATTATGAAAAGAAAATAAAATAATATTACTACTTTGAAAAATTTGACGAGGCCCAACAAAATTCTTAAAAATTATTAATAAATTGCTTACATCATTTATTCTGTGCCTATGAATTTTTTTTGTTTCGTTTTATTTTTAACAAAATCCTAAATTTTGTTCCTTTTTTATTAAGCCGAATTGAAAAAATATAAATTATTGAGATCTTACATTTGGAAACTTGTTTAACCCTAATTAAAAAGAAACTAAGCAGACATTTTCAATTCGGATCGAGCCTAGAGCCTAAACCAAAGCTGTGACGAAGCTATGAGATTTAATTTTTAGTAATAGCATTAGATTAAATTTCGAAGATACAATTTTTCAATTTATTTAATTATTTATCTATTAACCAATGCTGGTAGTTTTCAGGTTATCTTAAATTAAAATTAGACTACCTTCTTATTCTAGGCATTATATTTGTTTACTAAGTTAACCACATTGAAACTAACTAACTTATGAGTTTTTCCTTATTTTGCCAAGAATCGAACAACAATTTTGACTATAAAGTTAGAGCCAGGGTATAAAGTATATAGAGGTCACGTTTTATCAAATGGACAGAGTGAAATTTTGAATATTCTTAATCTTAATATATCTTAATAAGTGCAAAAAAAGCTGTTAAATATCATGATTAATCTGAAGAAACTAGTCTAAAAATATTACTTTTTATAAAAATCGACTGTGTTTTCAGAAAGTTATAAAAAATTGAGCTCGTTTTTGCCCAATTAAAGGCAACTTGGCAACCTGATGTTGGATAATATAATTTTGATAATATTGAGACAAATTTTGTGTTGTTATAAATCATCGGAAACGGGTTCAATGCCAAATCTTTGCACAACCCAAACAGCTGATGGACTCATAAGTGATTGATAGCCGAGACTTCAGTTTTAAATGGGGCGAATGCGCCTAAATGCCAAGTAATCAGCTTTAATAGACAACTGTCATATCTATGCCAGATCTTATCTTACATAATGCTATGCCGTAATTCAGGAAGTATTCATTCATTTGTCATGCTTGGCATTATTTACGAGAGAGACGCGAACGGATCGGCTACCTGGTAGAGAAATCTGCCACAGCCAAAGCTGCAAGTGGGGGCATGTTCAGGTAGGATGGTAGAGGGCGGGAAAGGGGTAGGAGGCACTGCACATGGGTGAGGCGCACGAGAAATGCAGTTGCGGCCGATTGGGCGACGTTGACCGACGGGAACGACAAAGATCGTGCCTGACGATGGATATTTATATATCGACAATTTGGATAAGTTCCAATGCATTTAGAGACTAGAGAGATTGCGAGAGAGTTATCTATAGAATATGCATGTATTTTGGTCACGGTTGCCGTTTTACAAAAATATTTTCTGCACCAATTGCTGAAGAAATTTCTAAAGATGCCAGAAGGCAACCAAAGCCGGCATTACTTATGGAACTATTTGAAGGCTTAAAAAATGAAATGTTCTTTTCATATTTTAAACATGAATGGAATCAGTTTAAGAGTTAACCTTTAACCTAACTCTTTGAATTATAATGGCCA